GAAGAGCGATGTTCAAACGATTATCGAAATCGAGGCGTCATAGTGCCGATGACGTCGGTCTTTCTTTACCGAGAAGCTCGAATCTCGAGGAATCGGAGACTCAGCCGAGTATCAGTACGATTCCAGTTTCTCGCGACAATTCTCAAGGATTGAGTCCTGCGGCTTTACTTAGGATCTCCAGGACGAAATACAGCCGAAGAAGTTGCGGCGATGCTACAGCGATGCAAGCGTTACTTTCTTCGAAGCAGGACGAGGAGCAGGAGGTCGTTGAGGTTGACTACCGGAGTGACTATCAGACCGACTATCAGATGGTCACTGCTGTGCCAGCGTTCATCGTCGAGCATGAGCCCGAAAAGCAACGAGGTAGGTAGACATTTTTCTTTTCTTTTCATTTATTTATTTTTTTCTTTTTTTACACAACTCTTTATTAAATTCGATTCGAATTATAGACATTGTCAACGATTGGAACGATTAAAATATTGTTTCGATTAAAATTCGATCAAAGTATTTACGTTATGGTTAATTAAAATTATTCGATTAAATTCAATTGATATATCTATTATTATCATTGAAAATATTTTACGGATCGATTTGATCATAATATATTTGTTATTTATTATTTTAATTGTTATCGATGTTAGATCAATATTCATGGTATTTTTCTTTTCTTATCGTCATCATTCTTATCATTTTCTTAGAATTACATGGAATTTTATATTCGATGACGACAGATATTATCGGAAATAACATAATGATTGGTGAAAGTCGAAAGGAAACGTTTTGTCCCCTTGTGATTTTAGATAAAGATAATAATAATTGAAGAGTGTGTGTATGTGTGTATGTGTGTGTGTATGTGTGTGTATGTGTGTCTGGAGAGACGCGACCCTCGGTATACGTGGCTAACCACGCGTTTCTTTCCACCTCGCAATACTAAATGTTCATGAACTGTTTGAAAGAGGGAGAGCGGAACGAGATAGGCATGCAAAAATTTCTTACGAAATTTTCGTCTTGAAGGAGAAGAATGAAGCCGAGAAAATTCGTACGAAATAGGAATTCGTCGATCTCTAACATAAAATTTATAAAGAAAAAGAAAAAAAAAAAAATCAATAGAACGAGCGTACTTCATTCAAAACAATTTCATTTAGATTTATATTGAATCGACGATTATTTCAAAGAAATATCATTCGACCCTTTCTTTTTTTTTTTTTATTGGTGAATAAAAATAAAGAAAAAAAAAAAAATATATATATATATATATATATATATATATATATATATAAGGCAAGTACATATCTCTGTAGATTCTATTTCTTTTCTTTCGTTCTTTTTTTTATTTTTTTTTTTCTTTTTTCTTCTTTTTTGTATTCACTCGTGGTTTTCCATCGTCGCTCTTAATCTCGCGTTATAGTGATCGAAGAAGCGGAACCAGTGGTCGTAGATAGGAATGCGGTGCACATAGGCGTCTTGTATAGCGATGCAACGGTTGCGCAATTTGTGAATTATCATGGCGTAACCGCACGATGGAAGGTGGAACGTTCAAGGTTCGTCGAGTTGTAACTCGTACGTTCGAACTTATATGGTGTGTATGTATGCGTATATATTTATATATATATATATATGTATGTGCAACTATGAATGATGAATTGAATTTATTACTTACTTAAATTTAGTAGAAGAAAGAAGTGAAAGAAAGAAATAAATATATACGTAAAAGTCTATTATAATAAGAAATTAAAAAAAGAAATTTGAAATTTGCATTTATATTAAACAGACTATGATCAAAATATTACAATATTGGATAATAGACATAAATAATATATCTCAATTGATAATAAATAATATTTATATATGAATGAATAAAAATGTTATAAATGAATAAAATAAAATAAATTCAATAACAATAACGTAAAAGTAATAATACTCAAATGTAGATTGATAAAGTATATCGTAAAAAAAAAAGAAAAAAAAAAAGAAAAGAAAAAAAAATAATAATAATAATAAATATCACCTGAGCAAATGATATACATACGTATATTATTATAACATAAATATATTACTTACATGCGCATATGAATGATATATCTACGTACACTTAAGAAAATATAAAAATGAATTGAATATACGAATAAAGGTAAGACGAATAAGACAGAGAAAAGAAGATATATACGTTTTAGATTTCGTAAAAGAGCACCTGCACAGACTGCTGCTGCTGCTGCTGCTGCTGTTGCTGTTGGTGTTGGTGTTGCTTCTGCTGCTTCGAGTTTTTCTTTTCTTCCTTTCAGTTTTCTTTTCCCTTACGAAAGGGCAACCTTATTAAAGGCTTTAGAAAACCGGCATGGAACGACCTCGGAACTACTACTAGGGGGCCGTTAATTAATTCTTTTGGGAGATATTCGAAAGACGTACTCTGCGACCGGTCCACAATTAGTCACACGATTATGTCGTCACGATGTGTCCTCCTGTCGCATCATCAGAGAAGTGTCACACCTCGTTAGACTCGTTCTTCTCTTCGCATAGTTTCTCTTTCTAATCGCGTGCTATTCTCATCTGCGTTTCGTACGTGACTTCTTGCATCCTTATCGCTGACACACAATCTCATTCGACTTTTCATACATAACTCTTTCAAGAAAATATTATATCTATCTATCTATGTATGCATCATTATGCATCGACGTAACATACATATATGATAATATAAAACGATAATTCTGATGAAATATATAAAGGAATAATGTGAAATAAATAATACTGTGATATATGATTGATTGATTGAATAATAATAATAATAATAATAATAATAATAATAATAATAATAATAATAATAATAAGAATAATAATAATTACAATAAAAATAGTAATAATTAAATAAATAATTGCATTGAATTAAATTAATTATTACAACGTTTATTAATGAAAGAAAGATATAGAAAAAGAAGAGAAAAGAAATGTTATTCAAGAGGAATTTAACGAATCCATTAAATTCTATTCTTGTCATTTGGAGAAAAAAAAAAAGAAGAAAAAAAAGAAAAGAGAAAAAAAAATAATAATAATAATAATAATGTATAATAAAATTTAAGGTAATAAAAATACAAAAGGTTCCCTTTGGCTTCTATTCGAATAGATTGCCGTTGATCGTTAAAATTAAAAAAAGATAATTTTATTCATACTCGCAATCAACCAAATTTCTAATCGTAAAACCGTTGAAAACGATTTCAATAGAAATTTCCAGTTGAAATCGTTCGTACGTGACTTTCCCGTGTAGCTTTTACCGTTAAAGAAATGGGTCAGCGCGCATCGATAATTGACGTTTAATACTTTCCAATGAAATTCGAAGTAGTTAATTATCTGAAACAGCTTCCTCGTTAGTAGGTAATATGCCTGATAATTACATTGGATGGAAAAGAAGGATCTTATTGAATAGGATAGAAGCGTCAAGTTTGGAATCATCTTAAGAGTTGGGAATTTTCTTCTTCCACGCATCTTTTTCTTATTTCTTTTTTCTTTTTTTTTCTTCTTTTTTTTTTTATGTATATATATATATATATATATATATATGTATATGTATATGTTATATATTCTTCAACCAATGAAATCTCGTCGAGTAGCACTATCTAAGTTTTAATTAACTAACGAAGAGGATCATTATCGTAGTAAGAAAACGACTTAACTCCGTCTGGTTTTATATCGAGTCAGGTCATATTCTCGTTTTTACTCGTGATATTGATAAGTAGTATAGATTTAATATGATGCGACGTGTGATTAACAAAAAAAGATCGTTATCGCATATATCCTCGACTATTCTCGATTTGAAGAGTGATCGACGATAACGGACTCGTAAAGAGTACAGTTAACATCCACAGGTTCTCTGTCCCTTTCTCTCTTTCTCTCTCTCTCTCTCTCTCTCTCTCTCTCTCTCTCTCTCTCTCTCTCTCTCTCTCTCTTTCTCCCTATCTCTCTCTTTCTCTCTCTTTCTCTCTCGAGTTTACGGTTACACATATATGTATGTATGTACCCCTATGGTTTTCGAGAGAGTAGTGAAAAGTTCGTCGTTTACAAAATCGGTAAATCGTTAATGCACTGCACGTTCGACGAACCGAACTTGCTCGACCGGGACACCAGAAGCAACACGCAGCTGTACGGTTGAAAAAAGGGACAGAAAAGACGAAATCGATTTTTACACTTAAATACCTTGCATTCCTTTACGAACTCAAACTGTTTGAGTTCGCGAACTGACGATTATTTCGAATAACGAACGTTAATTCTTTTAAAAGCAAAAGAAAGAGGAAAGACACGGGGCACTTGAAAAAGGGTGGATCATCCTGTGATCTGGATCATTTTCTTCTGAAAATTTTTCTTACGATGTTGCATCTTTATCTTTTTTTTTTCTTTTGTTTATTTTTTCTTTTTTTCTGTTTGTTTTTTTTTTTTTTTTTTTTTATACCTCGATCATTACGATATTAATTTATGTACATACATATATATATAGCTTATATAAGATACAAAATTTCTATGACAATTTGTTTAGAAAAATTTAAATTGTAAGAAAAATTTCTCGAGAATCATTAGAACATGGAACGTATACCAGATTTTCTTGCTTTTTTCTTGTTCTTTTTTTTATTTTTTCTTTTTTTTTTTTTTTTTTTCCTTTCCAAAAGAGATTTCAGTTAGCGAAACTAAATACCTTGTAACATTATGCTCCGATGATTTCCTTGTTCTATGTCACGTTAGAATCGTTAGGTTCGACTATTTGACACGATATACTTAGGTCAAATATTCCTCGACATTTTCTTTGTCTTTTAATGTTATTTTTAAGAAGAACTGATCAACACTTTGGTACGAGTAGTCGCTAATCTCGAAATATCGCATCCTTTCACTAATCAACTGTCTGCTTGTTTCTCGACTGGTGTCTCATTAGGAACAAGAAACTTATACACTTAAACAAGTATACATATATATGTGTGTGTGTGTGTGTGTGTGTAGGTGTTTCCTTTCCTCGTAAATTCTTGAAAAATTCTTCGAAAAAACGAAAGTGATAGTCTCCATGTAAGAATTCGAAAGCTTTTCGATTCTAATTTCAGTCGATTATTGCGTTACAAACTAAATGTATATAAGTACAGTACTTCTTTTTCGATCATTATCATCGTCTTTCATGCTATCCGCATCTCTAACCGTATTGCCGTTACTTTTCTGCGAAAAGGTGTACAACAATAGTGCTGGTAGAAAGTAGTCAACATGACTCGACTCTGTTTCAAATCTGAACAAATTTTTGCACGAACATTTTACTATAAAATTACTATTACTATTACTACTACTACAATTATTATTATTACTACCACTACTACTACTACTAATAATAATAATAATAATAATAATAATAATAATTATAATGATGATGACGATGATGATGATGATGATGATGATGATGATGATAATGATAATGATATTGGAATTAAATCGAAAAAAGAGATCTAACGTTTATTTAGAATAATCGAAAGACGTATAGTGAAAAATATTAAGATTGAAAATATGTGATAATTTGTTAAATAAAATTATATTTTTGAACAATGATTTTTTTTCCTATTTTTTTTCTTTTTTTTTTTTTTCTTTTTTATTAAATATCAATTAAAATCGTTGGCAGATTTAACAAAAAAATCCTTGGGCAAAACACTTTTCACACTGACAGGATTCGATTCAGAAACAGGCACAGTTGCGACACGGTCATGGACACTTCCTTCTGGAATTACATTGCGGATTATAACGCGTTGCTTCCTCTCTTAGTTCTCGTTGAAAACAGTTCCTTTCGAGCATCGAGCCAAGTCGTTACTATTTTATAAAGTTCTTTTCGCCTTCTGTGGACCAAAATAATAAAAATAATAAAAAAAATAGTGAGACGAAGTGATTCAAGTATGGTGAAATGAAAATTCTATCATTTGATAACAGGTATTATATAATTTCGTAAAATCGTAATACTTTACTATTATCAAAGTAATTATTTCATCATTAATTAATCGTTTGAATCCATAATGAATCAAAATAGAATTTCTCTTTTTTTTCTTCATCTTCCTTTTCTTTTTTTTTTTTTTTTTTTTTTACACTTGAAAATAAATAAACTTTAATATAATATGAGATAATAATGAATGAATAAAACAGTAAAACAAATTCATTGATGATAAAATTTTGATAAGAACAAAACGATCTCACAAAATAATTCACATTACTTTATCTTAGTTAATCAATCTATTAATCTATCAATCAGATCTCAATTATTATTATGATCTGAAATAATTCAAAATTTAAAATAATAATAATAATAATAATAATAATAATAATAATAATAATAATAATAATAATAATAATAATAATCCGATAATCAATAAAAACTAGAAATTCTTTCAAAAAAAAAAAAAAAAAAAAAAAAAAGAAAAAAAAAAACAAAAACAAAAACAAAAAAAAAGAAAAGTATTATCGACAATAATAAATCTATTCTCTATTATGATATATGTAATCGTGTAAAGAAGTAAATTGGCACAGATCGAAAGGCAGACTTTTAGAGTGCAGTATGGGTTGGGGCATATACCACATGCATACATGCATGCATGCATGTACGCATACATATGCACAAATGCATATATGTATGTACGTAAGTACGTATGTATATATGTATGTATGTATGTATGTATGTATGTATGTATGTATGTACGTCTGGCCGTTAACGAGGCTATAACGCGTTCGACCCAGCAGACCGTTTCTCTTCGTGTATCGCGGCGTGCGTTATCGCAAAACACGTGTACCCGATACCTGAGCAGCTTGACAATCGTCTTGGTTGTTCGTAGAGGATCGAATGGCTCGATGGCACGGCCCCGTTAACCGGGGTGACACCTCGAAAAAGTAGTCGCAAAATACGCGGAACCAGCAGCCGTGCTTTCGACGATGGACTTGGCTCGATTCTCGCTCGACTTCTTCCATCTCTTTCTCTCTTTCTCTCTCTCTCTCTCTCTCTCTCTCTCTCTCTCTCTCTCTTTCTCTCTCTCTCTCTTTTTCTTCTTCTTTAACATTTCCTGGGGGCGACCATATGTCGAGCTCGAATGCGGATGCCGGGTGGTTTTTCGTCCTCTGAGGTGGCCCGTTGCTGTCCCGGTATCCATCGACCTCTCCACCTCCTCCCACTCCCTCTTTTATTTCTCTTTACCCTCTCTCTCTCTCTCTCTTTCTTTTTCTCCCTCTCATTCTTCTCGAACATCATCCAAACGGTTATACGTTTCAACTGTTACTGAGTTTTCATTTCAGATGCGTTTGCTTTTTCTTTGATTGTTTTTCTTCTCTTTCTTTCTTTCTTTTTTTTCTTTTTTTCTTTTTTTCTTTTTTTTTGTTTTTTTGTTTTTGTTTTAAGAGAATAGTGGGACGGATGGGGAAGGGGGAGGAGGGAGGGGTTAGGATGGTCACACCCCATCACTGTGAATTATTATTTAATTTAACAAATGTTAAGGATGTTATTTCGTAATTGATATAATAGTTAAGTATAAAGTTATTAATGATCGGAATGTTAGATCACGACATTGACCGATGTTAAGGATCGCAAAGTGCATCAGTACGATGATCATGGGTATAAGCAAGGGTAGGGCAAACGCCATATGTTGCCGCAATACAATGGATCATTTCTTCAGGAAATAGTTGCCTTTAATGAACCGCATTTACATGCGTACGGATGGTGGTGCAATAAAGGGCTGAATGGAATAACGTTTACTATACTCGCCATGTATGAACATGTTCTCGAATAATAGATATACTCTTGTACGTTCTTATTCTCTATCTCTTTATCTTTATCTCTCACTCTCTCTTTCTCTCTCTCTCTCTCTCTCTCTCTCACACACTTTTCTTCTTTCTCTTTATCATGGTAGATTCATACAAATCGTTGAATTATTAAGACAATTATATTCGCGAAAAAGAAAAACATAGTAGAGGAGTTAATAAATCGTTAGTGAAAATCGTCGACTCGATTCAATGGTATTTCCTGAAGGGACCGACCGACCATATGTCGAGCGTGAACCCAAATACCAGCTCGTTTTTCGTCTTGTTTAAGGTGGTCCAATGCCATTCAAAGTCTCTTTCCATAACTTTCTTCTCGTTTCATTGGGTTTGATCAAATTTAAACTTACGAATTAAATATCCGAACGAATAAATTCTTTTCTTTTTTTTTTCCTTTTTTTCGCGAGAAAAATTTCATTCGTTAAAAATGAAAATTATTTTCTTTAACGATACATATGTATATATATATGTGTGTGTATATATATATATATAAATATTTTTTTGTATTGTTTTCAGGGTCAAGCTTAGGAGTCTGGGGCCGTAGGATGAGCAAAAAGATAGACTCCTTTCGTAGAGCTGGTTCCCGTGAAACGATTTGTTCCCTAGAAAGATCCGATCCCAGCGGCAACAATAATAACAATGAATCTAACAACAATAATAACAACAATGGTAATATAAATCCTACGTTGAACAAGACGACGTTACAACTGAAGACAGATTCGAAGTTGGACTCGAAAAGGTTATCAGGAAATTCACAGAGATCACCGTCGCCGTTCAAATCATTTTTCATTCGTATGGGTTCGACCGGTATGTTAAATTCTACGAGAATCAATAGACGTTCAGCGAACGTCGATGTAAGTTCGAAATCAACGGAGAAAGAGAATTTATTTAGAAGTTGCAGTACAAGTCAATTGAATACAAGTCCTACTTACGTTAAGGGCGATGATCCATCTGAAGGAATCGATCTACGGATCGCGGCACGTAAGGATAAAACAGTATCCTGCGATGATTTAGCCGGTCGACGAAATGACGATGTCTTTGACGATCCGAACGATGACGTTTCACCGTCCGTATGCCAATCAGGAAGTCTTTCGGGTAGTCCAACTGGTAGCCCATCGGTGAGTCCCACAGGAAGTCCATCGACTAGGAACAATTTCAAACCATGCGATTTTGGACGATCAAGAATGGAATCGGCAATGAGAAAAAGTAGTAGCTGTGATTTCAAAGAGGCAAAGAAATCTAGTTTCCCGTATGCTTTTCTAAGATCAAAGTTATCCGTTTTGCCTGAGGAACGTCACAGTTCATTCGTTTCGAAGGACGAAAGATTGTTCAAAACGGCATCGGAGGAACATTTTCCAGCGTTGAAGATCGAGGACTCTTACACCGGTACGACGACGTTAGGACGTAAACGATCTAGAAATGGTAATATGGGTCGTGGTAACGTTTCGAGGTATCAAGAGACGCCAAAGCCTCCGAGGAATTCCTATGTGGAATTTAAAAAAAAACAGGAAAGATATAGTCTAAATCCTAGCGAACTCGAGCGCATCGAGGATACGTTTAATCATGAAGATTCGGCTCGTTACGGTGCATACGGTAACGTTAGTCCAATGTCACTTGGACGAGGAAATCCAAGTATTCATCGATCCGAGATCAATCAAGATAGATTGGATTTTCCTGTTAGAACAATGGATCTTAGATTTTCGGAGACATCTTCATTGAACGTAGAACTTGACGTTACGGCTACATTGAGAATCGACAGAAGGAATTCAGCGCCAAGCGGTGAGCAAAGGCTATCGTCTCATTACGTGAGCTCGAACGAGTCCGGTTACGACAGTGACGGTCCTAGGGGTGAATCCGCAGCCGCGTCGGAGAACGAAGCTTTGAGTTTGAAATGTACAGATAGCTCGGACACCAGTAGCGTTATCGATTCGGAATTGGAAAAGCCTATAAGAAGTTCAACCCCTAGCGAGTGTCAGGATCAAGAACAGAAAGAATTGAGGAAGGGTTCAGCGACTGAAACGAGAATTGATTCCTCAGAAATAGGTGATGTAATAGACGGCTTAAGGTGGCATCAGAGTACCTCTGGTAGATTGTTACCGAGCATCCATCAGACATCGTTCGACAATACCAATACGAATTCTCATTTTCCTATCTGCGGCGATAGTTCAAACAATATAGCCAACGTAACGAAACC